AGGGTAATTATGACACTTTCAAAAATTTTAAGTCACACGTGTTGCCACATGACATAATTAAGGGATGGAATGCTAATGATGAATACTAAATTGATGGTATTTAGGAGTTTAGATATTGCCATGGCATGTTTGGAAGTTTAGGTACTAATGAGACTTACTTTAAACTACAAGGTACTAATTTGCAATTTACTAAAAAATTTTACGTAAATGGAACTTAAATTCATCCACTTGTTCAAGATAAAAAGAATAAAGGAGGGCATTTCATACTTGGGTCCATTTTTTTGTTTAATATGGTTGTTATTACCATCCATTCAATGGGCTGAGATTTGCTCACAACAAAAACTATTTCAACATGCTTCCAACATGATCTGTGTCCATACATGACCCATGTGATCGGTTGTAGTGACGGATTGGTTAGCTGTAGGCTGAACTTTGCTAATACTATTGAAGGCTGAGAATGGGCTGAAATCAATTTGTTAAGGCTTTAGGCGGTTTGAATGGAACTTAAAATGAAATCAATTTGTTAGGGCTTTAGGCTTATAAGTCAGTTTCTAAGTTTAGACATAATAAAAATAAAATTAGAACACTTTGAATGAAACCTAAACTATTAACTTAGGGTATAAGTGTCCTAAATAATTTTTTTAAAGCGATATAAAAAATTAAAAGAATAAATTATATTGGATTGGATCTTAATGGATCGAATTGGGGGTGGTACATTCAAATTAGGTCCATCAATTAAATAAATCTAATTCAAAATACCTACCAATGGTGATTCCAATGATAGGATCTTTAACTCATTGGAGTAAAAACCCTGGGATCAAATCCCTCTGCTACTAGTGTGGGTGGTGGGAGAGTTTAAAGGAGGGGGATGGTCTACCCATTGTGTAGCCCCATTAAAAAATAATGATAAATTCTCCATTTATTTTTTCTCTAGTGACAATTTGGTCATACAACTTTAAAATCCGATAAGTCAGTATTTGGACTTTCAAAACTCAACAATCCGGTACTTACCATTAATGGATCGTGAATTAGAATGGAAAAAGGCATAAATACCCCACATGTTTTCAAAAACCGAATGAAATGATTTTTTGAAATGACGGAAATGACCTCAATTCCTTTGCGAATGGGAACCACTGCTCACCACTCTATGCCCTAATAGTCCGAAGAGACCAGTTCTTCCTGTTGGTGTTGATAAGCAGAATACGACGCCAGAAAAGCTGAAATTGACCGAAAATTATATCGAAGAGTGTTGTACGAAGATCTTCTCCACTTATTTGGGAAAATATCGTCAGAACAGAGCGCATTTGCCAATGTTAGAAGTGCTTTTAATCATACTGTTACCGGAGAAGACGACCGTTTGTTGCCGGCGCCGAAGAAGACAAGCAAGGTTGTCAGTGTTTGTAACGCATTTGCCACTGATTGAGTGAAAATTATAGTACAGGAGAGCAAACTGTAACTGGAAAAAAAAAAAACACCTAGTGAAGGAGGCATTTAGCACTCACCCAAGTGTTGCCGGCGCTATAATTGAAAACAATAACACCCAAATCTAGGATTGTAATCTTGGAGTAATGAAATAATGCCATTGATTAAAAACACCCAGGCTCCCACTTCAGAATGCATTTGCCACTAATCGAATCGGATGTCGATCTTGATGGAGAGATTGTAAAACCTGACAATGATGGGAGACTGAAGAGATAACCAGGAGCTTTGAAATTTTAATTTTCTTTTATACCTAAAATTCATGCATTCTCTAGAAGCCAAAGCCATTAAGAGAGCTTATAACCATAGATGCGAGCGCAACAATGAAATGAAAATATAACCTGTTCAACCGAAGAGATCCCTTACTGTCTAGTAGAAGCCAGAAAAGATTTTCGTCCGCCCATACCTGCCATACCCATAAGCTGACACAGAAATGAGGCACCGAGGCCTAATATAATCCGACGAGGTGCTCTGTTTCTGTTGATCAACCTTTTCTGTTTCACTAAAAGATGAAAAGTAGAAGCATTGACACAACACGTAAAAGTAGAGGAAGAGCACCCGCTAGAAATGGTACTCTCTGTGTTGCAACGTGTGAGCAAGACGAAGGGCCATATGATAATGTTGTTCGTTATCTTTCCCTCCACTCCACTAATACGAGAGTGAATTGACGGAATTGTATGTTGAAGGAGAGATTGTAGAACCTGACAATGATCCTCCACATAAGGTGGATCCCAAATAAAATGACATTTTGAACATGTTATAGATGGGAGACCCATCTTTGAGGTCTCGGAAGAGAACCGTGATGCTTCTCAAGCAGCCAAGGCAAATGCAATGGAAGCAATTCCAGAGGGTATGTTTTTACTTAAACATTTTATGAACTTTAAATAAAAAGGGTAAAATTGTTTGAAAAATATAAACAAGGTTAATTTTGGAATTTTTTAATTATTTAATTCGTACATGGTGTTACGTGATAGCGCTGGTTAATTATTTTTTTGAAAATTCAGATACTGAATTCAAGCATTTTAAATTTTGAAGACCAAATTAACACTAGAGGCAAAATACAGGTACTAATCGAGAATTTTCTTAAAAATAATTGTGATTCCAAATGCATCATAACTGACTAATTTGCAGCCCAACCACGTTTCATACATTGAAGGCTGAAGCTGATATGGACGAAACTGTATTATGCTCATTTGTGGTTCGTTTATTTAACATTACATCACGTGGTTATCAAATCGATTGTCTAGAATATTGGATTGGAAAAGTGTGCATCGACATCACGAGGGTATTATATTAATTAAATTTCTGGGTGATTTATGCCCAATTTGGATCACATTAAGTGTTTTTATGTATTTGGTAAAAAAGTGGGAAATAAGTAGTTTTTCTTAAAAGAAGTATTTTTTTTTTTTAAAGTGACACGAATTTGGCTTTTTTAGTATTTCTTGGAGAAGTAATTCTTTCAATAGAATGGGACAAACTAGTCCCTAGTATTTTTAATACCCAAAATACCCCTGCACGAAGGTCTTACCTTCATCTCCTCTCATTTGAAGATAGCGGTGTACCTAGTTACTGGTCCATTAGTGACGATTGGCAATGAGGAAAAATGGCGTACAGACCTATCGTTTTGCCATTTTCTTACATTTTGTGAAGTTTTTCTTCATATTAAACCACTTTTTTTTAACTTGAAAATCTTTTGTTTGATGTGTTCACAAATATGCAATTTGGAAGAGTTTAACAGTGACAATCTTAGTGTCCAACCACTAGTGAAAAGGAGGTTAGTTCGCCCAACTCCTCCCCTCCATGTTTGGTGTTTTTTTTTTGTTATTTTGTATGATTATTTGTCTAATAAAAATATTTTGGTTTCATATAAGAAATCCGATTTTTTTTTATTAAAAATCATGCAAAAAAATGACTGAAGTTGGATGAATATCTTGGTTGCATTTTGATGTTTGAATATTTGTGATGTTTTATTTTTTTAACTTCTGATTAATTTTTCGTTAGATCCAAAATATTTGCTTGGTTTTTTTTTTGCATTATTTATATGATAGATTCCTATGCATGAATAGATTTTTTTTTTTTGTTTTATTGTTAAAAATGATGCAAACATATGCTGAAATATGTGGGTTACAGATTGTTTTCTTGATTTTTGTATATTTTTTGGCATTGTTTGAATTATTTTTGTATAGTGAAAATGGTGCAAACAATAATGCAAACATTGTTTGAATTATTTTTTGACAACTTGTGAATATTTGTTATGTTTTGGATATGTTTCTGTGATTTTTTTTGAACAATCTAAATTTTAAGTTGTTGCATTATCCTATTTTATTTTTTTAGATAGGATATAGGTGGTGTTTTTTATATTTTCTTGAATAATCAAAATTCGATTTTTTGATTTATTATTAACATGTATACCTAATACTATCATATTTTATTTTTCTTTAAATTCTCATTGGTATTGGTAATCTTTTTTGTGATTTTTTGAATAATCCGAATTTTAATTTGTTGCATGATGTGGCGTTTATTTGCGTGTGGGTCCACGTGGGTTCTCAGTTGTCATGATATAGCATTTTTTCATTGAAATGTTTAGTATAATATGTGAAAAATATTGTATATATGTATTAGTGAAATAAGGGCTAAAATTGTTATTTGTGTCAATATAAACACTTATGGGAAAGTAGTTTACCAAATATCCTCATTCGAATAAGTAATTAAATGCATAATAAGTGACTTGACATGTGAGTCACCAACTAATCTTAAGTGTTTATTAAAATAAACATTTTTAAGAAATATTTGTGTAATAAGTAATTTTAACAACCACTTAGGGCTTGTTCGTTTGTTCAGAAGTCTAACATTTGAAAGTGCAATAATCACATTAAAAGGTATATTGGTAGTGGTAATTTTTTGTTTGATTTGAAGTGAATGTGGAGAATATTGTTTTGAATTCTGAAAATGATCAAATATCCATTTTGACTCTATATATTAGAATTTTTGTTTACGTTTATGGGGATATCATTGAAAAATAAAAAATTGTATGATTACACTTTAAGAAAAATAAGAAGAAACTAACAACCGTTTTTCTCGTTAAATAATTCCTCTTAAAAGATAACAATAAAGAAGAAACAAACAAACCCTTAATCATCAAAAGGGCATATATCCGGTGGACGATAACACTTGTTACTTTGAGTATAGGAGTGGTAGAAAACTAAACCAAAGGTGGTAGGTATTATGATAATTACAGCACTTTGAGGTTTTAAACTTTTAATTAATTAACCCGCCCGGCGAAACAGCAAAATCCAAAAGAGAGCGGGAGATGGGAGAAGAAAACAAAGCGACAAGACAATCCCCCGCTTTGTTTTTTCGACCAATCACATTTCAGTATTTTCGCATCTCACGGACCACACCTCTCCGTTAAAGAACTGCACGGATCGCAGCCCAATCTTACGGCTTAAACGTGCTCCTCAACCCCAACTCGGAGTCTCGGAGAAAGTTATAGAAGACCCCTCCCTCGGTCAATTTTTGAGAAACCAAGCGAAGAGAAGAGACACAGAAGCAGAAAAAAGAGGGAAAAGAAAAGGCGAAAACTCGCGGGGCGGGAGAGGGAAGAGAAGAGTTGCAGAGGGAGGGAGAAAATGTCAGGAAGAGGGAAGGGAGGTAAGGGATTGGGAAAGGGAGGAGCGAAGAGGCATCGTAAGGTGCTGAGGGATAACATTCAAGGTATCACCAAGCCTGCCATTCGCCGCTTGGCTCGACGTGGTGGTGTGAAGCGTATCAGTGGTCTCATCTATGAGGAGACTCGTGGGGTTCTCAAGATCTTCCTCGAGAACGTCATTCGTGATGCCGTAACCTACACTGAGCACGCTCGCCGGAAGACCGTCACTGCCATGGACGTCGTCTATGCTCTCAAGAGACAGGGCAGGACTCTCTACGGATTCGGTGGTTAGGGTTTCTTGCATCTAGTAATGAGCGTTTGTTAATACGAAGGGAACCGCGTTTTTTGTCCTTGCTTGTTTCTTTCTCATTTCTGGGGTTGATTATATTCTATATTCCATGGGCGGTTCAAGTAAAATACTAGTTTTTTTCCTCTTATTGGATGAGTACTTCTTAGTTCAATATATTTTCATGTTTATTTTCCTTGCATTATTAATTTGTCTTCTTATTTCTTGTTAAGATAGAAGACTCCTTTGTGTTATTTCTCATTTTCTGGTTTTTGTTGTCGCTAAATAGCAAGGAGTTAATGATATGGTTTTGATCAGAGGTTATACGGCGATTATTTGATCCATCATTCTGACCTTAAAATTCTACCAACAAGTCTCAGTTATCTAAAGGGATTTAGTTAAGCGCTGGTGAGAAATATCTTCTTTCAAAAGAACAAGGTTTACCGTAGCTGGTCCTGTTGTGGTGTTTTTTTGATAAGTAAAACATTAATATTAATTAACGAAATAAACTATTTACAACAGGTTCTAAATAGATTCTTCTACATATAAGAAATATTGAGAGTTTACCTTGACGATTAGATAGGTCATGGTATTCGACCATGGAAGCATTCCATCTCTTATACATTGGCAAGAATATCAAAGTCAAGGATCTATCAAATGGAATAGGCAAGCTTTAGACGACAAGTGTTGAAAATACACATTGCTTCTCATTTTAACAGTAACCGAGTGTTGTGGAAGTACTTTTGATCTCGTAAATGTTCTGTTAAGTCTACTGTCCCTCATCCCTCGTCTTCTTCTCGTACAGTTAATTGGAACATTATATGGGCCTTGAGAATCCCTTTCAGGTTCCAAATGCCCATTTGGAAAGTTGGACAAGCTGTTTCAATATAGTATATCTGTTTTTTGTGATGTCATGGGAGTAGTGACACCTTACATAACAATACTATGGATTGTAACTGGGTTAATAAGTTGTATTTAGATAAGTTTCACTCTCTTACGAGGTCGTATGATGTACGTATGGTTAAGCATGTAAATAGACAACATAATATGCTAGCTCATGAACTAGCTACTAAGTCATGTAGGAGGTGTTCCCCGGTTCGGAATTGGTCTTTCAATTACCATAATTTTTTCGAAAAAAAGTAGAATGAGAAATTGCAAAAAAAAGAATACAATATGATAAAAAATTCAAAAATTATATATTTCAAATGAAAATGCATAAACTACATAAAAACAGAAAATGTAAAAATTTAAAACATTATACATTTCAGCTAAGAAGTTAAGAGTGCAAGGAAAAAAACAATCAAAATAATATGTATTTCAACAAAAAAGTTGCAATTGCATAAAATATATAAATTGATGAAAATTCAAAATTCAAAAAATTATATATTTCAAACCAAAAACAGAAATTGCAGAAAACACAAAAAATTGATACAAAACAGGACTTGAACTTTGTTTGATCTCTTGAACGATAAAACAAATGTAGTCGATCCAAGTTTCGGCGATCTACTCATGTTTGTATGATTCAAACCAGAAACCATATAATTGAAAATGCTACAAAAAAATTGAATAGACACGCCTCACACCATATTTGTATTTATTATCTATGGGGAGATGTACTCGATGCAAAAAATTGTATGTGGCTGTGAGATCAGTGTGAGTCGCGCTTTATAATGTGACCTAGTTTTAGCAATTTAAAATGAAAAATGATATATGACATAAAAAATTGTAATAAAAAAAAAGGATACATTGCATGTTAAGTTGGATTCTTCATACTTTTTGGGTACATGATTATAATATAAAACCCTTAGATTGGTAATTTCACAATATAAATGCTAATTCATAGCTCTTTCTATCTCCTATTCAGTCTTATCTTAAGACTCTTAACAATCGGAACTAGAAAAAAATAAAGGTCCATCCAAATATTTTTCAGCGTTCCCCATTTGGCCAGGTTTGAATTGGTCTCAGTGTACCTTAGCCCGCTCAACATTTTGGTAAGGCTGAACTTTTAGACCTGCTCCCAACTAGAATCATAAAAATTTATACCCAAGCCTAAGGCTGAGTTTGGAAAGAGTAATACAAATATGTAGAGTGCAAAATTTATATATTTTGTATATATTTATGATGTTTATATTTGCATCTGTATTGCTTCCAAACTGAGCCCAAGGGAAAGTTCAAGTTGGGCTCAAATTAGCCCCAATCAAATTTCAACCCTAAACAACCAACAATTTTTTTTTTCCTGGTTCTGAAGGCGTTTAATCATCCACATATTGCTTTTGGTCTCAATTCTTCTTGTACTCTTTTTGGTAATAGTTAGGTCTTCTTATGCTTACTCCTTGACCTCGTACATCTTTTGTCTAACATATGGATTTGCGTTATGATGTCGGCGTTGATCGCCCTGTCCAATCGTAGGACTCACACGTGTCGGGTGGCGTGAGTGAGAGCTCCCCAATCAGCGGACGTGCCCTATCCAGCTTAGCGGATTTCGGGGAAGCAATAGTGTGGGTCCCTTGGCGGCCTAGGATGGACACACTCCCTGTGTACGGACTCGTTTCCCACTGTCTGAGCTCACCTATCTCTAGGTGGTTCCAAGTATAAATACGAGTTGACCCCCCTCCAAGTAGGGGATTGAATACTCGAGCTCTCCCACTAGCACTTGAGATTTATTGCTCTCTTGTGACCTTGTCTGGGTGCTTGTACCTTGGACCTCATCCATTCCACACCTTGGTACTAACTTGATTGTCGAAGTCCTCGCCTTGGGTCTTCACTCGAGGCCTCTAACAATTTACCTCTTGTAGAACCGACCCCTTGGCCCTCAGCTACCTCAGATACTAGACCTAGTGGACCTTGGTCCTTGGATCTTGGCAAAGTTCAAAGTATTGACATGTATCAGCCCATATCGGTCTTCCAGGACCCCTTTGATATGCCCCTATAGTGGGTGTATCGGGGGTTTGACTGGTTTAGGGGGTGGAGGAGCCCTAAACCGCCCCCTTAAACTGGTTTTAGAAAAAAAATAAAAAAAAAAGTAAAACAAAATAGTATTGATTCGCTCGATATACCCTTACCGATGTATCATGCATATCAATATTTTGAACCTTGGATTTTCATCACATCGGACTTCAATCCTCAGGACTCCAACACTTCAGTCTCATCGGAACTTGAGATGTGTATTCCAATCCGAGCATCAACACGTTATAAATAAAATGTTAGAGCATGCTAAACTTTGTTTGGGCATAGCTTGAGCGAGCTGCTTGAGACCACACCCCAAATCTGTTATGAAGACTATGCATAAGTGATTGCGGATAATTGGATAAAAGAAATTAGAGGTCTAACCAACATTACTTGAGAAATAAATGTAGATGGCTGCAATTGGAAGAAATGGAATAGGGATTGTTTTGGGAATTTGAACAAGAGGATTGAAGAAGCTCCAGGTGATGTGGATATGACACTAACAAATGTAGGAGGAAAGCTTTAAAAAAGGGAAGAGGTGTTTTGGGCACAAAAATCAAGATGTGGCAAAAATGGGGTGATAGGAATACATTTTTTTTTGTTAGTCCACTTTAAGTAAATGAATTAAAAATTAATTTAATACACATTTAAAAACTTATGATCCTCGGAATTTACAGTCAGCCCTATTTCTTCCTATAAGCTAATAGGAATAAGAATGAACTTGGAGGCTTGGGAATGGGAAGGGAAGATCTCACCGAAGGAAGCAAGGAATGGAGCTTTGCTTTGAGTAGAATGAGACTTTGATTCACTTTCATAGAGGATGCCTCCCTATTTATAGAAGAGAGGAGGTAACTTACATTGCATGAAGTTGGAATTCTAGAATATTCTTTTAGTCTGTGTAGTTAGGGTTGAGCATAGTTCAGTTAAAACCGAAAAACCAAATTGAAATTTTGGTTTCGGTTCTATCGGCTTGGTTATTTTGATCATCAGTTCAGCTTTGGTTTTTAATTTCGGTTTAGCTCTAATTCGGTTACTAGTTTTGAAAAATCAGTTATCCAGAAAACATTGATATTTAGTTTTTTACATATTATTGATGGGGGCATGATATAATCATAGTCCCTAATGCATGTTATCATGTTCTTTTTGTACGGAGTCAAGAAAGGTGAAAAGAGACTATCCTTCAATCAATTGCTATTGCCTATTTGCTGAAGAATAAAGTTTGAACTCCAAAGAAGAATTGAGGAACGGAAAACAACGCCTAGAGCTAAGGTAGCAAGGCTCTAAGTTGTGACCTACAAAGAGATGAAGAAAGGAAGAAGATTTGAAAGAAACACTGAAGCAGCATAGCTACAGTCAAACTATTCTTCAGTGAAGGAAAATTACTGAGGATGTAAATAATACTTTAATTTCCTTGATTCCCAAAGTTGACCTCCCTGAAGACCCAAGTTAGTTTAGGCATGTCAGTCTATACAATACAATTTATAAAATAATAACAATATTTTTAGCGAATGAGCTGAAAACAAAACTAACTAAAGGTGTTCTTTAAAGTTTAAACTAGAGTATTTTCCTGGAAGGTAGAAATATATCTAATAACATCCTATTTGCCCATAGATTTTTTTAGTATAAAAAAAAAAACAAAGGAAAAGAAAAGGTTTCGTATTTGTTGAGATAGACATGAATAAAGCATATGACAGAGTGGAACGGATTGGATGTATTATGGAATGGAATGTATTACCTTGGTCTCCTACTAAGTGCTTCTAAATGATTTTGCAAGTAAAATTTTCTTTGCAAGTAGGGACTGAAGACAAGGAGATTCTCTCTCACCATATATATGCCTCCCCCTTTTATGTTTTCTCAAGATTACTTAATAAGTTTGTTAAAAATAAGCAGATTTTTTTGTATTAAGTTTTATCATGGTTGTCCAACTATCTCTCTTTTATTATTATTATTGTTGTTGTTGTTATTATTATTATTTGCGGATGGTATCTACATCTTCACAAAAGTAGATCTTGTGGAAGGGCAAAGGATTCTGGATGTTGTTAAGGTGTATATGTTGGCTTGTAGTCAATAGGTGAATATGAATAATTAGAGGTCTCTTTTAGCCAATGTTTTAAAAACTGACCTGGAATTGGAATAATTCTAGCCACCGGTTTTTTGGTTGATGGTTTGACAAGCTAGTTCGAACGGATGACCTGTTTTGATAAAAAAATTAAAAAATAAAAAACGACAAAAAATTGTTGAACGGGTCGATGGTTCGACCATCAACAGGTCATTGGCATTGACCAATTCAATAGTTTTTGATCGAGGACCAAATTTGGGGTAAAACGAAATTGGTTGCCTAGATGGTTCTTGGTCCAAACGGTCTGATCATCTGGGTCAACAATGGTTC